GAATATTGTGGACGGATTTGCCGTCGATGTGTACGAAAGACATGCTCTTATTTGCTTGGAGTTAGGGGATATCGGGGAATTTAATCAGTGTCAGGCTTCTTTGAAAAAGTTATATGAGGGACTTTCGGATGTCAAAGAAACTTCTATTTCTGATTTCTTTTGTTATCGCCTTGCATACCTCTCCCTTGGTGGTCAGCACGATGCTTTGGCAACGGAGTTGATAATTTACACAAACACAATTACAAAAAGCACAAAGACGCCTGAAAATGCGTCACCACGAGTAAAAAAGACGGATTTGCGGTGGACGATTAAGTTGTGCACGGCGTGTGAAGACGGCGACTGTGGCACGATTTGTCGAGCTCTTATGGCTCTTCCACGCGGAATGCATTTGCTACTGAAAATATACCTTCAGAAGTGCCGGCTAAGATGGCTAAGGGAGGCACTCAACTGCATACGGGGGATGGTTTCCATGCGCCTTGTTATGGCCTCCATGGGCTCTACTCCCGTGGAACGTCACAAGGGTGAGGTGGCGCCTGGCGCAGAAGGGGAAGACACCCACTTTTGGTTGGATGGATCCTTTGCAGAGGCCGAGGAGGCGCTCAGGCAATTCTTTGAAATGATCAAATTTCCTCTTCCCCAGAGATTTTCATTTGCGGAGGAAATCCGTCGGGACATGAAAAAAAGGTATCCTCATTGCGGAGAGGAGGCTCTCAAAAGTGAAGAGGATATTACTGTGGTTGATGCTGCAGCGTTGTTCAAGTGTGTTGACGGGTACATCGCCTTCCTCAGCACAAGAAGTGATGTTGGTATTGGTAACGCTGAATAAACGGAACGATTTTCCCCTTTGTATATATATATATATACATAAATATATGTATCTGCTCTTGGTATTGAATCCCTGAACTTGGGGGGTGGTATTGATATTTTTTATGCATATGTCTGTTTGTGTGTATGCGTTTCTATCATTACCCGTATAAACATGTTTTTCTCTTCTACAAGTAATGGAATAGATGCAAATACCATTTTCTTTTCACTTCTATTTTTTTACTCATTCTGTTGACTGGGTCTGTTTGTTCTTGTTCTTACTTTCTATCATGCAAGCTGTAAATAAATAATTAGGTAAATAAATAAAAAATATATACAAATAAGTAAATAGATACAGAAACGTAACTACAAACTAAATATTTATAAAGAAAAGGGAATTTTGCTGTTGGCTTAGTCTTTTTTTTTTTTTTTTTTTTGTTGTTATTGTTGTTGTTGCCCTTTTTTCTTTTAAAATAACAATAGAAGGGGGAAGCTGAAGGACATTGGTGTGGTGGAGAATGACTCAGGGATCTGGTTTTAATAAGGAAGACATTGTGCGGCGCCGGAAGAAGGATCATATCGATATCTGTCTTCATAAAGTTGTTGAACCGTATAAAAATGGTCCTTCTATATGGGAAAAGTATAAAATTCCGTATACTGCGCTACCTGAGATCAGTATGGGTAAAATTGATACTCGGTGCGAATTTATGGGGTGGACTTTGTCGTTTCCTCTTATTATATCCTCCATGACAGGTGGTGAGGAACATGGCCGCATTATCAATGAAAATTTAGCCAAGGCCTGTGAAGCAGAAGGTATCCCCTTTGGTTTAGGTAGCATGCGTATTGTAAATAGGTATGCTGTGGCTATACACACCTTTGACGTTAAAAAATTCTGCCCCTCTGTCCCCATGTTTGCTAACATTGGGCTCGTACAGCTGAATTATGGGTTTGGTGTAAAGGAGGTGAACAACTTAATCAAATGTGTTAACGCGGATGGACTTTTTATTCATCTAAATCACACGCAGGAGGCCTGCCAACCGGAGGGGGACACAAACT